CGGTGGCGGCAGCGCCCACCGAGGCCACATGCAGGCCAGCTGGCAGGATCATCGACTACTTCGTGGTCTCCAAGTGCTTTCGAGGGGCCAAGGCCAGCGACATTCACGGGCCCGACCTCAGCCCGCACTACCCTGTCGCGCTCGAGCTGCTCGGGCCCAGCAGACACCAGAACATCACGGTCATGCGCACTGCGAAGCAGCTCCCGCTGGCCAAGCCGCTAGCGCGCTGCTCGCAAGACCACGCACCTGCCTGGAATGAGGCGCGGGAGAAGATCACCAACACCAGCGACTTGGACCGCATGTGGCGCATCTTCACCGGCCAGGCGGAGGTCAACATGATCGACGCTCACGGGCTCCACCACGAGCACGACAGGCACGCAGGCCGAGGGCAGCGACCCTCGCTGGCGAGCACTTCGGCAACGGCGCCGTCGCCGCCGAGGCTACCGAGGGTCAGGCGTGCATCGACGTGGCGCAGGGCGATCGCCATCTGCCTCAGGGATGCTGCGCAGATCGAGCGCCCGCTCACGAGGCTGGGCGCGCCCCGCGCCTTGCGCAAGCTGGTCAGTAGGCCCCCGTCCGGGCTTAGCGAGTTGCAGCACGCTATTCGCGTGATAGCTACGGGGGCCAGCAGCTTCTCCCTTTCGCAGCTGGACGTTCTCAGCGCAGCCTGCTTCAGCTGGTCGGAGAAGATGGTCAAGGCTGACATGGACCAGGCCTCCCAGAACTACAACGAGTGGGTTCTGCACTCCGTGGCCACGGGCTCAGGCGGCATCCACGCGGTCACCAAGATGGCGCAGAGTTGGAACGCGAAGCCCGCCAAGCCAGACGGCGAGCCACCGTCCACCATCCAGCAAAGCCTGCAGACGCTAGTGGACGAGTGGTCGGGTTACTGGGATGTAGCGGCACCGCGCGAGCAGGAGCCTGCGCGGCACCGCATTGCGTGGCCAGAAGATATCGGAGAGCGCCCCGATAGGCCGTCAGTCGCTGAGCTGCGGAAAGTGATATCGTCCTTCAGGCCTCAGTCCGGGTCCAATTTTGACAGCTTACGGCCCAGCGAGTTCAATTTCATGGACGACCAAGGCATCGAGGCGCTCATTGATCTCATCATGGCCATCGAGGCGAAGGCCGAGTGGTCCAGCTCTGTCATCACAAAAATGGCCTTCATTCCCAAGGCCGACGGAGGCCTTCGTCCCATTGCCCTACTTGCTGCGGTGATACGAGTGCACGGGAGGCTCAGGCGGCCCCTCATGCAGAAGTGGGAGAAGGACAATGACAGGCCTTACTGGCGGGCTTGTTCGGGTCGCTCTTGCGACAGAGCGGTGTGGCAGCAGCAGACGAGGTCCGAGTGGGTCACGATGATGGCGGGGCTACATCCCGACCAAGACTGGGCCTCTGCCAGCACCCTGCTCGACCTGTGGAAAGCGTTTGAGCAAGTTTCTCACCAGGGCTTGGTGCAAGCGGCCACCAAGTACGGCTTCCCGCTGTGGCTGGCCAAGCTGCAGATTTCGCTGTACCGCGCGCCGCGGGTCCTGCACTTAGACGGGCGCTGCTCGCAGGAGCTGCAGGTCTACCAGACGATGCTCGCAGGGAATGCGTTTGCCGCGGGCTTCATGAAGCTCATGCAGCTGCAACCGTTGGACGAGATGGTCGCGAAGTTCGGGGCTGTCGCGCCAGCGATCGTGGTGGGCGACCTAGTGCTGCAGCGCTGGGGCAGCACTGAGAGAGTGCAGGACGACCTGGTTGGTGCCACGCGGAACCTCGCGCAGCACTTGAGGCAGGTGAAGCTCAAGATCGCCGTCAAAAAGTCCAGGGTCCTGGGCAGCCCCACTGGGGTCCGCAGCAACATCTCCAGGCGGCTGCTCAAGGTTGCAGAAGTACACGGCGCGCGCCACGCGCGGAACTTGGGCATCGACCATGCTGAAGGGCGACGCGCAGCTAGGGCGATTCGGCAGCAGCGGTTCGCCAATGTCGAGTTGCGCATGGGCAAGGTGCGCAGTTTTCTCGGACTGAGGAAAGGGCGCACAGCGGCGGCCAAGGTTGCCTACACTGGCTTGCACCCTTCGGCCCTCTACGGCGCCAACTGCACAGGCCCCAACGAGAGCGAGCTGTCCAAGATGAGGCCCATCACTGTCAGAGCCGTAGAAGCTCGGCCAGCGGGCAAGAGCGCCACTGCAGTGCGGATGCTCTCATGGGGCCAGGGGACCCTGGACCCCATTTTCGCCGCCGCGCTTGGGCCCGCGATGATGTTGGCTCGGGGAGTCTGGGAGCAGTGGATCCCGACTTCGATGCTCAGGTCCACCTTCGAGTGGAACGTGAAGGTGGCCAAGAACTGGTCTGACGTGCGCGGGCCGATCAGTGCCGCGGCCAAGTCGCTGCAGAGGATCGGCTTCACGCTTTCTACCTTCACCGAGTGGGTCTCCGAGGCTGGCGAGAAGCTCAACTTGGCTGTTCACTCGCCGTGGACGGCGAGGCAGATGGTCACCAAGTCCGTCGAGCACTG